ACCATTTGTAAAACGAAGAGACCCTTGTCAATTTTGAATGGTAGCATTCGGAGGAAGACGTAGAACGTGCTAGAATCGTTTGTTATGATGTCAGGGGATAAGATCGATATGAAGTCTGGAAATCAAAACGTTCATCACTCATCTGTTTTCTATTCACACTCTAGGTGTGGGACTACACAGCAAGTAAACAGTGTGGATAGTTATGTATGAACTCAATAAATACTCTTTAACCCATCGCAACCGATACTCGGCAACTGTTAGCCGTGTGAAGGGTTAATTCACTCGTTCATAGATCTTACTGGTTAGTGGAACTTTCCTAGCAGCCATATTGATTAAGAGCTTTCGTTATGATTAGTATCAAGAGCCGATAGGATACACGAACACATCGACGAAGAGATTGAGGGAATGGCAAAAAAATCAGAGAGTAAAGAAAGCTAGGAGGCGTAGGGCGGTGGGGGTTAAAGAGGTTAGCTTGGCTAAAAGTCGGTAGTACCGTTCGATTGCAGATCAAAATTTGCACGTTTACCAACAGAATTCAACGAAGATCAAAAAGTATTACTTTTCCTTTCTTCCAAGTAAGAACTAGGACACTCATTTTTCCGATTTGCCCTTTTCCGTGTAATTGTAATTGGAGTCACGGATTACCAAACATCTGAGCAATCCAATTAATTCCAATATTTGGTATGTGTATTATCTGTAAAGAAGCTCAGCCTCTTTGTATTTTACTTATGTTTGACAGGAGGTTTATCAAGAATGGAGCATTCCGTTGAGAAGCCCAACGATAAGATGATCTGTCGGTTTGTCACGATTGACAAGACACTTCAACGGAGCCTTCCCCTTCCCATAGATGGAGGCACGGTGTAGGCCGCATTGATCCCCGTAATCCCTGGACGATTATCAGACCCCGGCATATAACACCGAAAACTCAAAGTCACTAAATATGTTGTCAGAGAATACGGGAGCAACAACTGACTGGCTTACAAGTAGAGAAAATAAATTATAATGCTCTCTTCTGGTGTGAGAGAGGATCTTCAGAGTTAGTGGGTGGTTAGTGACCATCGAAGGAGCCAAAAAGGACCTCTGATGTCTAGAATCACGAAAAACATTACGGGGCCGTATAGATTAGTGGGAATAACGGAGGTGTTATTCTGATAAATGCACTGGGGAAGGGGTCACTGGAATGTCACATGGAGAACGGTTTGGTTGAAGTTTTCTCTTCGTCATTGAGCTGGACATACGTTTTTCATTTCAGTCATCCCCAGCCGAGGTCAAGACTGCTGTCAAAGCTGCTATAGAGGCTGGTTATCGTCTTATTGATACAGCTGCTATTTACCAAAATGAGGAGGCAATCGGGGAGGCAATCAAAGAGCTCATTCAAGCTGGGAAAATTACTCGAGACGATCTTTTCATCACAACAAAGGTAGAAATCGCTTAAAATTCAAGTTTTTTGACACTCAGGAAGCTCTAATTTCGCGAAAAGTATTAGTTTCGTTCCCACATCATATTTCACAGCCGTGGATGAGTTTCTTCAAATCGCTTATTGACATTGACTCAACCTTCTCTTTCACCCTCCCAGAGTAACGTGAATAGGGAACCCGGGGTGTGGTCCAACGACACCATTTACTTCTTTCATATATCAATCGTGTCTGGTTTTATAGTACATTCAACATCTACAGCTCACATACATAATGCTCCCCACTTTAGCTGTGGGTAACGCGTTTGCATCCGGATGACGTCGAAGGTGCTCTACGTGAATCCCTTGGCCGACTTCAAATGAGCTATGTGAATCTCTACCTGATACATGCTCCGACCTGCTTCAATGTAAGCGATTTTTATTGAACTTTTACTTGGATTTGCGGTTATTATATTAGTTCGTGCGGAATGAATTTGCCAAATAGTACCCACGCCTATACGCATAACATATCCAGCCGGGTGTGGTGCGTTAGGAACGAAATGGTCGCGTCGCGGTGAGAGGGGCGTCGCGCNCGAAGGAGTGTAGCAGGATGCAGCAGTAGGTAAGAAATACAAGAACAAAAGTATTAATAGTAGAATTATGCATAAAGTAATGATCGCATGTCGATTAAGCTGTATGAAGAACGCTAGAGCTGTAATAAAGCGAATGAGTCCGCGACAGCCGCGTGCGGCAAATAGATTACCCAAAATCGTTCCTAACGCCCGTCTCCCTATCCAGCCTCCTCTTCCTTCCATATTTGACCATGTGATGGCCAAACGTTTAACAATTCTCGATACCTACTGCTTTCAAATGCTTTACGAATTCGAATCTAGCCACTCCGCTTCTGAAATCTTTAGGAACTCGCGTCAAGAATTTGGTCTCGAAGCCCTTATTAGCTATCCTGTGCACACCTCATTTCAGCGTTAAATAGAAAGTCGAATATGTACTGACCTGGTCAATCGATTGCCATACCATGAAAGCTTCTGGTGTGTTATGCAGATAGTAAGTAATAGACCTCTATGTAATTCCTAGAGAAGTCTTCAAAAAATTTGGGAGAAATTCGGATTTCTCTGAAGTTTTCGGCAGATATTTCCATACAATCATAGTCAAACCGACTGCAACTAATAGATTCATAAAGGAAGGTTCGAAAAAGGGGCCAATAGATCAGAGTCAAACAGACTATGAAACCATTAGATAATTATCTCTCAAGTCTTTATTCAACTTAAAGTTAAGATGCAGCACTCTATGATGTCATGATGCTATGATTTATAGAAAAAAAGATTCTGGACCCAGTTCAAAACTTCGGTTGGGCTCAATGCTCAAAAAAAAAATGAAAAAAGTAAAGAAAAGAAAAAGGG